TGGGTTTTTAACCTTTGCCTCATCCATTTGGACCAGTCTTAAATGGATACTAGAAATACAGAAAAGTAATGGTTCCAACTACTTTGATTTTAAAAATGTCAGTATTAATGGTTTTTCAAAATAACTTCATATTTCATCATCACATAAGAAATAGGATAGATTATGAGGGAGTGGGCATTAATATTTTCACCTGGGCTATTCTAAAAAAAAGAAAAGGCTATGACATTTCATTCATTGAATATGAAGGATTAGTCCAGGAGAATGAGTGTAACCCATTCCAGAGTCAGAATTCCTCTCATACCTAACGTCAGTAGCACATTTAGCTGTTCTCCTAGCCCACCACTGGAGTATGGTCCAACCAGTTGAATTATCCCACTATGACTTAGTTGAGTTCTATAGGGGAACCAAATATCTTTCTTTTCGTTCCATAGGTCTCTCTCCACAAAAGTAAGCAAAACTGTGGGGTGGATGACAGGAAATGGCATAACATCATCATCATTCATCATTAAAACCATGATTAAAGAGAACGCAAACAGAAGTTTTGGATTCAGCCTTTTGGAAAAAGCTGTTCCTTTAGTTTCTGAGGTTACTGAGAGATTTTCTCAACATCACTAATAATGTGCCATGTAGGTTCATGCCAGTTTTCGTATAAGAGCGCATATGATTAAAAGAGAAGCATCCACTTAAGGGCTAGCTTAGATTAGAGAGAAAGGAAATGAGTCCTTAGGACCAACGCCTCATCACTCCTATCTTCAGGCTAGTTTTAGAAAAATGTGTCCAGGGTCCTTCAGGGATGAAGACAAGGTATGACAGTTTTTATAACCATCATATAATGCAGCATGATCCACAGGCTCCTGCACTCGAGCTTTCTGCTGATTATGCTTTCATTGTTACATTTTAGATTAACAGTTTTCTCGAATAACTTTCTTTGTAAGATATTTGCAAGCCCAGTTGCAAAGATCCTATTGGTTTAGTGTAATAAAGCACATGCATACCAGGAAAAAGTGAATTGAAGTTCCAGAGTCGCAATGTGCACATCGTACGGCAGCTGTTATGTCCAGTTACCTAGCTGATACCACATTCAGAATGAATGACCTCAACCAAACCCAGCCCCGCAACACCATCCAGTCCAGCTTTTTTCACAGACTCCTGTACTGGACAGGACTAACAAATGAGGAAAGAGGCCTGGTCACATTTCAACCACCAATGTTGTCAACTCCATCAAATATTTCTTTTCTTCTCTTGTTTCTAGGTTTCATGCCATGAGATTTCCAAGTGATTTTGATGAGAGAATATTTCAGAAATACTGATGAATTTGTTCTTGTAGGGTTAACAGATGTCCTAGAACTACAAATCCCTTTATTTATCATCTTCACTGTCATTTACTTCATCATTCTTGTTGGGAACCTTGGGATGATCGTGTTGATTCTGTTGGACTCCCGTCTCCACACTCCGATGTACTTTTTCCTCAGTAACCTCTCCCTGGTGGACTGTGTTTATGCCTCGGCTGTCACTCCTAAGGTAATGGTGGGGTTTCTCACTGGAAATAAAATCATATCCTATAATGTTTGTGCTGCTCAGATGTTCTTTGCAGCTTTTATCATTATTGAAGCTTTCCTCCTGGCCTCAATGGCTTTTGACCGCCATGCAGCTGTGTGCAAGCCCCTTCATTACACTACAACCATGACAAATACTGTGTGTGTCCTACTTGTTGCTGGTTCCTACATCATTGGACTCGTACAATCGTCTATCCATGTTGCCTTCACTTTCCATCTCTCTTTCTGTCATTCCAATGTGATTAATCACTTTTTCTGTGACATTCCCCCTCTGCTAGCTATTTCTTGCTCTGATATCTACACAAATGAAATTTTGCTTTTTACATTGGCAGGATTCAATGTAGTTTTCACTCTCTTTGTTATCTTGATTTCTTACTTGTTTATTTTTGTTGCTATCCTGAGGGTGAATTCAGCTGAAGGACAGAAGAAGGCCTTCTCTACCTGCATATCTCACCTCACCACTGTTTCCATCTTCTATGGGACCACTATCTTCATGTATTTACAACCAGGTTCCAGTCATTCCATGGACACAGACAAAATGGCATCTGTGTTTTATACTACGATCATCCCCATGCTGAACCCTCTGGTCTACAGCCTGAGGAATAAAGAGGTCAAGAGTGCATTCAAAAAGTTGTTGAAAAAGCAAAGTATTCATTGCACACAGTCAATTAATTGTATTTTCGAAATCATGCAAAACTTTCACTAGACCTCTATTAACTAAAAATATGTTAATTAAAATTATTGCTTATTTTTAACTTCTCTGTACTGTCCTTTCATTCAATAGACCTCTTCCCTTATATGACTAGGTTAGAGGAAATTTTGGTTGTAAATTGCCAGAAGTAGAATTTTAAGTTCAAGATTCCCATTAGTATTGCACAGAGCACCACACTATTGGTGTAAAGTGCTTTGCAGACAAGCCTCACATATGTAATGATACCAGAGTTATATTTTTAATTATTAGAGCTTAAAATGATGCCATGATTCTCATACACAGGGTATAGCCAGAGACACTTCTGTTCTTAAAAGTCACCTTTAGAGACTGACAAAAATCAAAATCACAGCATCTATCCAAGGTAATCTTATTTCACGTATTTGAGGTGAAGCACACAGTCTATAGTTTGACCTGTTATTACCCACATCTTCAAGGAGTTCCAGTGGTGTGTTTGACAAATAAAGGATAGTATATAATCTAAATTTATTGAGTACTTGAATTTCTAGAAATCAAAGATAAAGTTCACTAACAAGAATGCTGACACAAGCGTATATTTGCAGGACCTGGGAGGCGGAGGCAGAAGAATCGAGTGTTTAAGTCCAGCTGGTACTATTAAGAGAGATGCTGTTTGAAAAAAAAGAGTAACAACAAAAAATTGAGTTAGAGAATAAGAACTCATCTAAAAGTATATCCACATCTATTCCTCACCTGAACTATAGATAGCATGTTAGCCATATCTAATACCTGTGTTGAACAGCAAGTTCTCCTGACAAATATGTTTTTGTAACTTTTTAATAAAAGGACTGCAGATTTTGTAAGAGTGTAAATTTTTATCTGGATTATTTCTGGAAGTGTTAGGAGGGAAAAATGAGTCCAACATCCTCTGAATTATTAACTGTACACTGACTTACAAGAATACACTGAACTCAATCAAGATCAAAGTGAGAGGAAATCCTTTCAGGTGTGGTCAGAGGGATGAAATAATATCCCTGGTCACTCACAGGTTCACTCAGGCACAATTAAAGCAACAGGTAGAATGGAGTTTCTATGAGTTAAAAATAGATCTCTGGAACTGACTTCTAATGATAATTATACACTTGTGAGGACTGGCTTCTGCTGGATATCAGGATATCAGTCCTCTCTTCCTCTATTAGGGTTGGTTTTAGAGGACTCACAAAATACTTATCCAATAAAATATATTAAAAATTTTAAATAAGTATGTGAATTAATAAGATAGTGTGTGAATTGATGATTGCATGTGTGAGTAAATGAATGAGCAATTTGAGACAATGCAGCACTGACATTGAGCAAATGAATCAGCACCAAACTAGATCCCTAATAACTGATTGCAGGATTAAAGACTTGCTTGTTCTATATGTATAGTGAGAAGACATCTCTTAGATCACCCCACAATATTTTCTCTTTCCTTTTCCAATTGAAGTTTAAACCATGTACCTTTTCACTAAGCCCAAAGCTTGTATCTCAGCATAGTTAGCTGAGCCCCTGCAGGTTTCCAGACCATTCTGAAATTCAGAAAATAAAAACTAATCAAGTTTGAGTCAAAGGAATCAAGACAATAATGTTCAGAACCCCTCCAAGGAGCTAGAATTATAGGTATGAATCACCAGTGTGGCCTGCTAGAATTTTTTAAAAATTCAAAACTTTAACAATATTCAAAATATTGCTTAACAAGAACAGACATGAAAGACATGAGTGAAGATTTAAGAGACAGGCAAGATATTGTGTAAGGCTCCAACAATGACCTACTAGGAATTTCAGAAAGAAATACCAACAGGACAAAATAAATGTCAAAATTCAAAATTGCGAAGAAGTTGGTAAATTGAAGAAATGTATAGCCTCTCTGCTTGAAAGACCACACTATGGATGAGGTAATTTGTACATGTATAAAAATGGAACACCAAAACCTGCCAAACTCATTTCAAGAAGGGGAAGAAGGAGAATAACGGATGCATGAACCAAACTCACCTACTATATGTATAGAATCCTCGTAATGAAACCCCTGAATAACTATCATCTACTAATAAAGATTTTAAAAAGACTACACTAAATTTTTAGAGTGATAGAATTTTAAAACAGCATTTATACGTATCATTATCAACCCAGAAAAGTCAAAGTGAAAGGAAAAAATTTGTGAGCGGTAACATACAAAGTTATAATAATTAGACTGACAGATACATCACATACAAATCATAGAAGTTAGCAGACATTGGATTTATGTCCTTCAAATAGCTGAGGAAAATTGAATGCCAATCCAGATTTCTTTACTCATATAAACTAGCATTCTGGTGTGCTGACATAACAAGGGCATCTTTAGGTACACTGGGGTTTCATGGTGAGTTACTATGCCCAGGGCCTGAAAACAGAGAATGCATTGCAGCAAGAGTGATAATGGGTAGTTCTCTTTGTGGAGCGTAGAAGAGACAATGGAACATTCTTGGTTCATGTGCCACTCTCTATTGTGCTGTTCTTCCCCTCTCTATTTAGTGGGGATAATGAGGAATAATAAGTTTCTGTAGAGGGAAGTTCTATAATCTGGGAATATCTATTCAGTCAGGTCCCTCAGTCATAGTCTTAGAATCACAGATTTGAGATACAGGAGTTTATTTTACAAGTAACAACAGAAATCATTGGTAGGGAAATTGGACAGTAGGTCAGAGAATGGAAGTAAACCAACACTGCATTGCATTATATGTCTGAGAAAAAAAGGGGCTCAATCTTCTTGGGGTCTTTGATTAAAGCTATGGAACAGCATTGTGAACAAACAAGGAGGATACAATAAAAAATGGCCTCTTTAGCCTTGTGTTGGAGTTTTGGGGCCAATACTGCTATTTTTGGATGTGCTGAAATTTTAGGAAATATGTCATGGCTAGAAGAAGCAGTTCACTGAGGGTATGTCCTTAGGGGAATATAGCTTGCTCTGAGTGCTTTTTTTGTATTCTGTTACCATGTTTTGTCTGACACGAGGCAAGGTGCTTTACTTCACTGCATGTTCCTTGCCATAATATTGCACAGTTGAAGAAACATATGGACAAAAATAACGTGGAAGAGATATTTGAGATTCCTGTTCCTTTAACATACAGAACCCAACCTGGGGAGAAACCTGAGGAAATGCTCTAGAATGTATAAATATATTATATTTATCAATGGAAATGCTAGACTGTGTTCCAATATTCACTCTTTTTTTTCCACTTGCATTTGAACTGAGGGTCTACATCTTGAGCCAGGCCACCAGCCATTTTTTATTTTGGGTTTTTTTGAAAAGTGTTTATGTATGTAAGCAAGGAGGGAAAATTTCAGTGTGTTCCTGTTTCATTTAGATACATTAAAGAATTCACTCTGGAGAGCAACATTTGTGTGGTGGCAATGTGGGAAGCTTCTAGTCACTCCATTTCCTTTCACAGACATTACAGAAATCATACTGGAGAGAAATTGTATTTCCGTAAGCAATGTAGAGAAGTCTTTCATCATTCCACTTAATTTACAAATATGAAATAACTCATGATGGATAGTAACCCTAAATAAGGAATGTGGGAGGATTTCTAATGACATCATCTTTCCAGTAGACATGAAAATCCCCACTAGAGAAAAGTATTATGAATGTATAGTGAACATGAGTTCTTCTAGTCATCATGGTTCAAGTCACAGATATAAAAGAACAAAGTATGCATCTAAGTTATTTAGGAAGTCAAAACACCAGGCTCCAGGATAATCAAGACAAAAGTTGCCAAGTCTGTATTTCAAAAATAAGTTTGGTGTGGTGGTTCATGCCTGTTATCCCACATACTCAAGAGGTGCTTGTAGGATTGTGGTTCAAGGCCAGCACTCCAAAGTTAGTGTGGGAAACTATTTGAAGACATTCTAAGTAAAACAAAAGGTCCTGGATCATAGCTCAAGAGGTAGAGTGCTTGCCTAGCAAGTGATGGGATTTGAGCTCAACCCCCTGTACCGAGAAGGAAGACAAAAAAGAAAGAAGGAAGAAAGGAAGGAAGGAAGGAAGGAAGATAGAAAGGAAAAAGAAAGGAGGAAAGGAAGGAAGGAGGAGGGAGGAAGGAAAGAAGAAAAGACACAAAAAATTGACTAGTAGGGCTGGTGGAGTGGCTCAAGTGGTTGAATGCCTGCCTAGAAAGCATGAGGCACCAGTGCCACCAAAAAAATTGACTAGAAAAGATGTGCAATAGTCCTCAGTCTAAGTACAGGAGTGCACAGTTGATCAAAATCCTGTGATTAAAATATACAAAATTACCTATTGTGATGAATAATTTCAAAGTTGTGCAAAAATTCCTCATGCAGTAGAAGCTTATAAGAATAAGCACTATCATGATGCAAGGTAATTTGTGAAGAATGCTTCAGAAAAATAAACATGAGGAAATGCTCTAAAATGTATAAATATATTGTATTTATCCATGTGCAGTGCAAGACTGTGTTCTGATATTTTCTTTTTTAGGGGAGCACTGGGATTTGAACTCAGAATCTACACCTTGAGCCACTCCACCAGCCCTTCTTTTGCGTTGGGTTTTGTTGAGAAGTGTTTCAAGAACTATTTGCCTGGACTGTCTTTGAATTGTGATCTTCATGATCTCTGCCTTCTGAAAAGCTAGGATTGCAGGTGTGAGCCAGAAGTACCTGACCAATACTCACTCTTTCAAAACAAAAACATTGTGGCAACTTATGTTCACTTATGTTCTGTTTAAGCAATAGTGTGTCTGTTTAATAGATTCTTTTTAAATCAAATCAGAAAACTCTTTTCTCCCTACAACTCAAATCACTTTAAAACCCATGAGTGAATTAATTTTTGTAACATTGAATTCTATCAATTTTTAGGTATGTTTAAGTTATTGCTATTAATGAGCCATTGGAAAATAAGTTTTTGGCTTTTTTGAGATTTTCCTGTTGGTTTCGTGTGAGAGGTTTTTACACATATGCTGTATTTATTATTGAAAATATATTTTAAATAGATTCTATAATTTTGACCT